ATTTGCATACAACTAAGTTATGACCATTTTAAATAAATTAACAACTGAAGCCAAAGATTAATCAGTTATTATGATTTTTATTTTATAATACTTCGATAATAAATAATTTTAAATATTTATACTTGTGTATACGAACAAATCATCTAATTTATTATTAAAAAATAAATGTGTATTTTATTTAGGAGAGAAGTGATTAATTCAGTCTTCTAAGTAAATATGTAGAATAAAAAAATTTTCAAAAAAAGAATTGACTATTGGAAAAGGCAAAACTGTCAGATTGGATTCATATTTCATCCCAGGATTCGTTTTTTTTTTTTTAATAACCGAGTGTCCTAGCCCCACCGTAGTGGTCTAGACTAGAGACCAAAGCGAGCAAGGACAAGGTTAGGGTGTCACCATGTGGCTCACATATAACGATCTTCGGTCTCGGGCGCCAGAGCAAATCCGCAGTATTCGTTATTAGGAGGAATTAATATCCATAAAATAATACTTATATAAAAAGAAAGAATAAACAAGGTTTTAAAATTACAAAATAGCGTCCATGTTAACTGAAACGACAAAGTTATGAAGAATAATAAAAGTGGTCGTTGGCTATATAAAATCTTAGAGAGGCATCAAATTGCCAGCTATCCACCCAACAAAGAAATTATGAAGTAATTTATAAAATCATAATAGTACTCGTATGATCCGCGATGATGTTTGGTCGTGCGTGCAAGGATTGGTTTAAAAAAGTAATCTTCCAAAATAAACTAGGTAAATAGTTCAAGCGATATAATTTTAATGTAATTTAATCTGATCTGATTACCCAATTGGGTCTTTCGAGTTGTGCACAGATTTTATTCTACTGAATATCCAGAATAAATGGACACGTTTGTGCAAATTAGTCTATGTATTGAATGGTTTTGGACGACACTGATCTTTAATGTTTATGGATCATTTGTGAAACTCCGTCAGTTCTTTCCTAGTTTATGTTTTTTTCGGTTTCATTACCTAATTGTTTTTCTACTTTTTGATATCCTCATGCTTCAAATATGTGTACTTCATGGGTCAATAATGATTCAGGCAGTTGATTAGGGAGACCCATAGAAGCAAATGGCAATTGGACGTTTTGGACTACAAAACTATCGCAAATGTCTCTTGGCCTCCATGCTGAGGTGAAAGAACTAGTATGAGTGAGATCCTACTTACGAGATTTACAGATTACTATTGTCCATATAGAGATAGATTGCTCATATTTGATTGATTAGCCTTGTTTTTGGGATACAACATTTTTATATCCTCAAGTCGAGGAATTTACGTGTAGACTCTCTTAAAAACGAGACAAAAATAGTGGTCTCTTCTCTTTTTATCCAATATAGATCAGACTGGATCGAAATAAACATCTGTTCAAAATGATTTAATCTCGACTACCACTTAATATAAACAAATAGATGCTGACAATATATATATATATATGCATCCATCCGTTTATTTACTTTTCGGATTGATAGTCTTGACTTTTTGGTTTTTATTTACTTTAGATTGATTGCTTTGATCTTTTGAGATTTAGTATACTAAAGCTTTGGTTATGAATATATAATCTTTACATTTGCATTTACTAAACGTAACTAAAGATGCAAATTGATGAAAAGAGCTTATGTTGTAAAAATGCTCTTGGATGCTATGAGTAGATGAAAGAATTTAGCTATGGTTATATCATCTGAAACAAGTTAAGGTCTTTTCTAGTCGATGAAAGACGTTCAGGTCTTGTTATGGTTATGGCTGATGAGACATATTGGTTAGTAAGCAAAATGCAAATATTCTTACGTTCGACGGGCCAATCCGTCAAACCACAAATATAAGGCGGAACGGGACTGGGAATGTATTTTAAGATTGTGTTCCGTTTAGGTTTAAACACATTTATCCAAAACCAAAAAATCGAATCGAACCGGAAAATGAAGTTTGGGTCGAATGTGGATCCTATTAATAATACGAACGGATCTTATATCTCGAGAATCGGAATTGAACCAAAAACTGAATGTGTATCCAAGTTTATATAATATAGTTTATATATTTCTAATTATTAACTATATCTAGTTTTAAAATAATCAAATAACTTAAAATATTATTTATAAATCAAAATATACAAAAAGTGAATTATCCAAATATTTTTATTCGAAATATTTAAAATTCTCTAAATTATCCAAAATTGTATACAAAAACCCATAAAATCTAATATTTAATCCAACCCCCCCCCCCCTTCCCCTCCACATTTTCTTTTTATTTTAACCTGAATTAATATAAAAAAAGAAACCAGATGAGATCCAAAATTACTTCATATATTAGTCAGTTCCTAACTTTGTTATCCGAACTTAACCGAAATTGAACTGATTTTTTTTAAATACCCGAATATATCCTCAATTTCTAGAACCGAAAAAAAAACAAAAGAACCAAACCAGGACCAAAGCGAGAAACAAACTCTCAGTAGTCTAACAATAAAAAGAATAGTTATCAAGAAAGTTAAAAAAAAAAAGTCAGGGAATATATTTTAGTGAAATATTGATGAATTTGAGCCATTTTTCTTAGAACAACAATTATTTGGTCTAGATTTAAATTTAAATAGTAATAATAATTCATAATAATGAGAATGTTGCTTGACTTTTAAATTTTCACTCGAAACGAAAGATTAAAATTTGTTTGGGTTTAAAAAGCGAGAGTGTGCTCGTTATTTATTTGTAATATGTCTAATGAACTATTGAATTTCCAGGTGCACGATCTGCCGTCCAGTGTAGGAGGGTTGACGCAACCTAATCAATTATTACTTAATATTGTTTAATCATAAAACTCAAATTTTCATTACTTTTTCTCATGTAAAATTATTACAGTATGACACAAAAACTGTCACGTTCAACAACCAGGTCTCTGATTCTCCTCCAACTCATAAACTCTTCTGTTTCTGCAAGGTTACTATCCACAGAACTTGACAACTTAAGCAATAGAAGAGTTCGACTCCTATTAAGATAATAGTCACTAATAATTTTTCTTTTTACAGAAATAAAGTTAATGCTCTAAGAAGTAAGAAGTCGTTTGGTGTAGAAAAACTGTATAAATGGGGAAATAAAATTAGTGGAATAATATGCGGTTAAAAACATATCTAAATACTTATGATATAAATCACATACAAAAACGTGTTAAAATCAAAAAGTAAATGGATAAAATGGTGAGTTTCTAGGTTATAAATAGCAACCAAAGAAACGAAGAAGAACACTACATTTCTTAACATTTTTTTAAAAATTATCATTTTAAGAAGAATAATTTATCTTTTTTTTTCTTTTTTTTTGCTGAGAATTATAGAGTAAATTTATTCCTTGTTATTTTGATAAGAAATCATCATTACTCATTATTCGCAAAATTTTAATTCTATTAATTTTTCTCCTATCCAATTCTAATGTTTCTATGAGAGTTACCGGTTACAGAGTTCTTCATCTTATGGTTGAATAGTATACATAATTATATATAGAGATACATTTATTTCACTAAAAATCCGAATAATCTGAATATTGTTATAATAAACCCATTTTCGCTCATATTCTCTTAACATCCTTTGATTATTCCAAGGTCTGAGTTTTACATTTTAGAAAAAAAGGTTTGAGCAGTGACCAAAAAAAAAGGTTTGAGTTTTACATGATCAAATGACAGACTAGACGAGAACCATATGTCCTAAGGTCCATATAGCATGGGTTACTTTGTAATGTATTTTCAAAACAAATTTAACCAAACAAGTATTTTTAAAACATTAGCCCACACTTTATGCAGTGGCTCAGTGCATATACAGGAATACAGCGGACGAAATTATAATTTAGAAAATAACGTAAAATAGATAAATAACAATGTAAATATTTCGTAATGTCTAGGAGATGGTATTCTAAATATAGCATTTATGCCATTTTAGAAGTGCTTTAACATTATAAAAAAACTATTACATAGAGGCAAGTAGTTGCTTCTATATATTTCTATTTTAATTAATTGACGGGAAGCGCATATAATAATCCTCTCTCCTCTCTTATACGGTTATACCCTATTTCTTTATATACTATATTTGTTAGTTATGTAAAATACTATTGAATAGTATGTTGTATATACAGATTATAAGATAAAATACAATTATATTTTATCAATCGATTGGAATATTCTGAAGATGTAGTAGAATATTATGGCGAGATAATACTTTTCTACTAAAATAAAACAAGGTCTTTGCTATATCATGGCAGGTTGAACTGTATATCTATTAATGGAAAAAGTGAAGGAATCATATGCAGTTTTTTATCATCTTTAGTTTCTCAAAGATGGATGCTTTTGCTAATTGTATATAATTAATACTAAACATTAAAGTTAATGGATCAGCAGAATTAGCGAGCATATTATGAACTCGACCCGTAAATTCCATGTCCCCGAATAATTTAGATCTTATATGTATATAGAGACTACGTTCTGACAATTTGAGTTGCAATCCATTCTCCAAAATGAGTTTTCGGAAAGCTCTTTAATATTGATTAGTCTGCTTTTCCTTATCAGTTGAAAATCTTGGTAAAACGTAAACCCAATGCTAACTAAAATATAATCTACATTAAAGTCGAACAATGTAGTGAGCTTCTCCAATCTTGATCCCAAAATTCTATTAGCATACCATTATCACACTGGTAATAGTTCGGTTAAATCATCCATATATTCTTTTTGCTTACTTCAATTGATGTGCTTAACAAGTATGAAATAATATATGAAGTTAAAAAATAAGATAAGCAGGAATGCATTGAGTCATAACCGAGAAACGACAAAAATATGCTTTGAAGACCCAGTTGTATCGCCCACCATAACTATTAGCTGTCCATATCTAAATAAACTAATAAGAAAAATGATTGTAATTGGGGTTAAATTTATCCACTATTCCTCATGTTCTCTATATATACATCCCAAGTCCTCTCCCTCATTACCTCACTTCTTATAAGACTTCCAACAAACAAACTAACCAATCTTCTTAACTAAGATTAATCTCTTAATTAAGACACTTAATTTAATAAAAAAAGAAACAAAATGGAAGCCGTGGGAGAATGGAGCAACAACCTCGTAGGAATGTACACATATGCAACCGAAGAAGCTGATTTCATGAACCAGCTCCTCGCCTCCTACGATCAACCTGCCACCGGGTCAGCCTCTGGCACAACCGGTGGAGACCACCAGGGCTTGTATTGGAGCCTTGGCTCTCATCACAACCACCTTACTCTCATGCATGAATCCAGTAGCTTCTGTTTCTCTGGGGAGAGCAGCAGCTACAGCGTTGGGAACAGTGGATACTACGGGGTGGTACCACCCGCGGTTGAAGAGAGCAACAATGGGTCAATGGACTTTGGGATGGAAGATGTGACCATCAACACCAACTCTTACCTTGTTGGTGAGGAGACAAGTGAGTGTGACGTTGAAAAATACTCATCTGGAAAGACTCTTTTGCCCTTGGAAACCGTCGTTGAGAACCACCATGAGGATGAGAGCATCTTGCAATCCGAAATCTCTGTGACTACTACGGATCATCATCAGAAATCTCTCACCGGTTCCAAGAAGAGATCACGTGCGACATCGGCTGATGTAAGTTTACGATTTAAGATTTCTAACTGATTCTTTCTAAAAAAAAAAGATTTCTAACTGATTATCAAAATATTACCATTTATAGTAAAACCTTTCTCCACCAAATAAATATATGATAGTAACATGGTTTATTTACTAATATTGTATTAATTGGATTTGCAATGATTTCAGAAAAACAAGAGAGCAAAAGTGGGTAAGAGAGGTCAAAAGAGCATAGAAATGAGTGGTGATACCAACAATGGAGGAGAAGATGAAGAAAGAAGGAAGGTGAAGAAAACAAAGAGTGGGGCTATAATGAGTAGACAGAACTCAAGCACCACTTTCTGTTCCGAGGAAGAATCACAATGTCCTTCTCAGGACGTTGGAGGAGAAGAGGAAGAAGATGCCTCCAAGGCCCTCAACCTTAATGGCAAGACCAGAGCCAGTCGTGGTGCTGCCACCGACCCTCAAAGTCTTTACGCAAGGGTAAATATACTTCTCTTGTAAACGTTTTGATCAATATTTACTTTTTAAAATCATCTTTCTAATTAGTTCGATTATTTATTTGGCTGTGCAGAAAAGAAGAGAAAGGATAAACGAGAGATTGAGGATTTTGCAAAATCTGGTCCCAAATGGAACAAAGGTAAAAATTCATGCAAACGTTAAACACATGCAGATGATATGGTTGTTCTTTGCATGCAATTTATTTACATGCAACGTTAGTAAAATTCTAAACATATATAATTTCTTAAATATTTAACAGGTTGATATCAGTACAATGCTTGAGGAAGCCGTCCATTACGTAAAATTTTTGCAGCTTCAAATTAAGGTGGGTTTTAATTTTGACATTTTACGTGTACGTCCATGCATGTGTCATATAAGTATATGATCTAATTTAAGATTAAAATAATAATTTCGCAGTTATTAAGCTCTGATGATCTATGGATGTATGCGCCGATTGCTTTTAACGGAATGGACATTGGCCTCAACCCACCGAGATGATGCGCGGATCTTATTTTTTTGTTGGATTTTTTTCTCATAATATATAACAAAAATGTAAGATTCCATTTCATTTTAATATTCTCCACCTTCGAACGAGTTTGATTTAATGTCTCGTACGATGCTTGTTCAATATGAGAGACATGGATAGTCACATTATATTTTTTCCCATTCCAGTTCTCATATTCCCTCTTTTCAATAAAATTTTGAGCCATTCTTTATATATATCTTTAGATGTTGATATAAGAAGTTTGCGCTAATAATTTTTCATTTCATTTTATTCCCTTTCATTTTAGATGCGAAAAACCTAAAACGACATATAAAATGAAACATAAGAAGTTTGCGCTAATAATGTTACAGTTTTGTTTTCTTCAGTGGAAAAGTAACTAAAGTAAAACTTTTATCAAATTAAAGACTCCAAACCACACAAACACAAACCTGGTCTAGCTGTATGACAGAGTTAGAAACCTTCCAAAAGAATTGTTGGTTCGATCTTGGCTCACGAATTATTCCTGAATTATATAAAAGAAAATTTAAAGACTGGAATCCAGATATTGGACTATTTAAGTATTTATACAATGGGACAGCTAGAATTAGAGATAGACATACGGTCGGACATCCCTTCCTATTGGAATATGTGTAACATTAATACAAGGCAATATTGTTTCAAAAAAAAAAAATACATGGCAATAAATTTTCCCATCTTTTTTTCCAGGAATTAAAATTTTGGAGTTATTTGTAAAATAATCTCAGAAACCAAAATTAAAATTTTAGAGAGAGATTAAAAGATAGATAAAAAAATAAAGAGAGAAGGTAATTTTGTATAGTTAGTAAATTTAACTTTTTGGGTTAGTAGGTGCAAATTCTGTAATTTTTTAATTTATAATATGTTTGCAGCCAAATATGGTAGATGTTGTGAACCTACCGTACTTTTTTTTGTCTAAAATTAGATTTTAGAGAGAGATTAAAGATATATAAGAGCATCTCTAACGGGAGTCTTTAGGAGAAAATCTTTACAAAAAAATTAGTTAAATAATTAGTGGATTTTACAAAAAGTTAAAGATTTGATCCTTAAAATCTCTAAATAAGGATTTTGTCGTAGTGAATCATTTCACTATTTGAGGATCCTCATAGCACGTGACGATCCGCGATTGGTTAGTATTTTTTTTAATCTGAAAAACAAATAATTAAATAATTAAAAAATTAAAAAACAGTTTTTTAAGGATTTCAACAGAGTAATAGCGTGGGGATACTCTAAGAAAAAAAATAAAGGGAGAAGGTAATTTTGGATAGTTAGTAAATTTTGGATTTTTTGAGTTAGTAGGTGCAAATTCTGTAAATTTTTCCATCTTACTTTTAAAGTTAAATTTATAATATGTTGGCTGCCAAATATGGTAAATGTTGTGTAACCTACCGTATTTCTATCACCTAAAATTAGATTTTTAGAAAGAGATTAAAGATAGATAAGAAGAGAAGTAAAGAGAGTAGGCAATTTGGATAGTTAGTAAATTTGAATTTTTTGGGTTAGTAGGTGCAAATTCTATAAATTTTTCCATCTTATTATTTAAAGTTGAATTTATAATATGTTTGCAGCCAAATATAGTAGATATTGTGTAATCTACCACATTTCTCCCGCCATATGAAGCATACGATTGTGTGATCAATAATTTACATTGTCTTCACTGTTTTACATCAGATTCGGATCTGTGGTGAACCTGAAGATCCAGTGACTCGTAAATGTTCATGTTCGGATTTAAAAAAAAAATCATTAACTAAAAACTTGACAAAACCTGGTAAACCCCCCCCCCCCCCCCCCCCCCCAAAGAAAAACAGTGGTAAAAAATCCCAAACGTTTGATAGTATTTCTAAAATAATGTTCATACACTTAATATTAAATAAAATTGAATAAACTATGGAGTGTATAAGAAACTTGCGTCAGTCTCAAATTACGTTTACAACGCATTGTTGTCAATTGGTGAAGATAGTTTTAAACTAGAAGAATGATCAACGTTTGAAAGTTATCTAAAAGATATCACGATTTTGAAAAAAAGTTTCCTCATTCATGTACTTCGAACGCATAATTTAAAGGCGGATAATTTAGTATGTAGTGTCAGAAAATAACCGATTTTTGTCGTTTATATATGCATAGTTATCGTTTTGTTTGCAGAGTCTATATAATTTGTATATGTTGATAACAAAAAAAAATTGAATAACCTATATGATCGATTTTGTGATTATTTAGAAACTGATGAAATTTGTTGTTATTCAAAAAATGAAGAAAATGATAATAAAAAAACAAAAATCTATTGATATGACAACTTTAACTTATTATTTTTTATTATTACTGATAATTTATTATACATTTGTATCTTTATCTATTTTAAATTTAAAAAATATTCTAATGTTATTCTTTAGTTATTTATTATTATTTTTAGCCAAAAAATTATTTGATATTAAAATATAGTCAAATAATTTATTTTCATGGTCTTCACAAAAAAAAATCATTTTCGTGGTGGATAAAAATTGAAATTAAAAAGTTGAAATTTTTATTTGTACTTTGTAATATTATCTAAGCTTTAGTAATTAATAATATTATGTTCATATATAATTCTGTATCCCCTATATATTATTTGAGGAGCATTGAGGAGTCATTTTGCTTACGTGTCGTTTCCACAGTGCGTTTCAGCGAATTTGCTGACGTGTCCATCAGAGAGTGATTTGGCATTTAATTCGTTGATGGGCATTTAATTCGTTGATGGGTATTAATTCGTTGAGCGCACTTTAGTCATTAATTAATTAAAACGTAATGGCCGTAAAGGCACCAGCCCACGTTAATGTTTCATAAAGGCCCCAGCCCACGTATTTTTTTCAGGCAATATATGCCTTGCGCATAAAGTAAATTCAGATCATTGAATGCATTAATTTTTTTTCTGGTTTTAGGTAATATATGCCTTGCGTATAAAGTAATTTAGATTCGCTAATGCAACCTTGCAGATAAAGTTTATTGAGTTCAATACACAATACCATAATTGATATTCTACAATAAATACGGCCAACCATCATATTGGAAACAATATTAGTATATAAGGGGTTTGTCTATATCGAGTTCAATACACAAACCCTAATAAACAGCAACCCTTCTATCTTTTGTTTACAATGGCTTCCATGAACACAGTTTCTGAGCTTAAACCTTTCAAGTCGATGTGGAGGATCAAAGTAAAGATAATCCGTCTTTGGAGGCAGTACTCAGCCGCCGGTGGTTTGACCATTGAGATGATACTCATCGATGCTAAAGTGAGTATTCCTTTGTACGCTTGCTATCATATCTTTATAACTTTATTTTACATGTTTCATATCTAATATCTATATTTTACTGGGATTTTTTTTATAGGGTGATTTTAAACTAATTCCTGCTTCAGGATTGTTTCGCAGAACAAAGAACAAGTACCATATCAACCTTACTCATGAGTCTGTGGTTACCAAGATTCTGCCTATCACCGAGTATAACTTTCTCTGTTGTGCGAGTTACAAATCCATCCAGTGGTCTATCCCATCCTATGTTTTGCGTTGGTATGTTAATATATTTAAGACAAATTTTTTTAGTGTTCGACTGACTTAGTGTATTTTCTGTAGTAGCATCAAAATTATAACATGGTTGGGTTTTGTTAAACAACTGTTTCAAATGTAAATTCCAGGCCTATGTGGAGCTTTGGTTGAAGTAGGTGATATTGAAGATTTTACAGGAGCGCAACCAAACCAGTACTTCACTCCAAATCAACCATGCATTCGGTTCTCCATGATAGATATTGAGTGTGTACTATATATTGTACTGTATACTGTTAATTGTTTACAGAAATTCAGATTAGATAACCTAACCATGACATTTTTTTCAGTTTCACGCAAGTTAAGTGTGTCGCTTATGGATCAGTTGCTGAGAAGTTATATGACTACTGGTCTTCTACGACTGCAAATGTTGTTGTTTGTGTGCTAAAGCTATGGAGAATTGAGTGGGGTAATGGTAAGTTTTAATAATTTAGCTTAACTTATTTTAAGAAATTTTTTTATTGTTTCTTAGTTGAACTGAGTTGTTTCGTTCTATAGGTCGGTTGAAGCATCTTACAAACATTGAAGGCTGTTCGGATATTTTGTTTGATTCTAAAATTCCTGAAATTCATTACTTCCAATCCATGTAAGTTTAATTTTTTTGAGGAAACCTTCATTTTATAATATGAATTGTGTGTATACCGAGTTTATTAACATATTTCATTGGTAATGTTATTTTCTGTTTTCCAGGATTCCATTCACTACATTGTGAGTCTAAAGCAAGAGAGTTGAAGACTTTTATGTTTTACTATCTTATGGGAGTTCTATGTCTGCTTTTAATTTTGGATTTTAATATTTATGTTTTACTTTTGGTTTTTTTATATTAACCACAACATATGTGTTTTAGAAGGTGGAAGAACCTTCAGTTGCTTAATCTAAAAATTTTATTTATTTATTTTCAAGTGTTACTAGCCTACATTTATATTTATTTCTGAGTAGTTAGTTTTCATTACGCCACTCAGTTAAACGTACTAAAGAACTTAAGAGATACGATTCTAACCTGTGTAGTGTAATGTGAACTCTTCCTCATGTCTTCCATCACGTGTGCGTTTTAACTGCTGGGATTTCTCACTCGAACCTGTCTTTTCCAGACTAGACTGTGCAAAAAATGAAACTCCATAAGTGAGTAATTCATCTTAGCTTAAAAGAAGGTACGTATTAAGGTGAAGCTCAGCTGGTAGATTAAACATACATTAAGAAGTCAATCTATTACTTATAGATACCTTTGTCATAATACGTATACATTAAGGCAGTGTTGATTTGCTAGAAGGAAGTCAACAACAGGGCCAGGCTGCACAACCATCATAGTTGAAGTGTCTACAGAATCAAGAAACCAAAGTGTTAATACCCAAATTTTACAAAGAAGAGTCTACACACAGTAAGTTCAAAAATGATTACCA